TATAGTTCTTTTAAAAATTTAAGAACCGAAATAAAATATTTTAATTTTGGGGTGACATGACAGTCAAAATATTAGGTAGTTACGTCCTGACTTCTCACAGAGCTGAAGTTTGAATATTTGTCACTTAAGAATGAGCATTTCTTCTTAAGCACACAGTTCTAATTCTTGTCCTATATATGATCAAACGTTTATATGTATTAAAAAAAAAAAAAAGCGTACTGTGGTGATATAGGCTTTTCTTCAATGCAAATTCAAATTTCGCCATAATTTATTTTTATATGCGATTTCATCTTCTTTTTTTTTTTTTCCTGACTGCCTTACTTTTTTATTTTCTTGGAGGAATTAAAATTTTAATTTACAGTATCAAAATGAGAAAATATCGATCTATCAGGTTGTTTCAAAAACTTAGTCATCGTATTTTATTTATTCACTTTATCTGCAAGTTAGATCGATTTAAATAGACATGCACCAGCTAACATTACATATATAACGCTTCTGTATTAATTAATTGTATGACTGAAAGGAGATCGAGCTGATCGTATAATTACTTGGTAACTTTTGCTTCACGCTTTATAATTCTCGTTAGTCAAAACTAGTCACTACTTAATTCCTCTTTTACTTTATGCGTTTGCTTTTACCTATAGAGCACCATATTAATGCTGCCTGACTTTGAATTGTTAGTTTCAAGAGAAGGCACAGAGAACTAACCTGTCAGAAAACAAAAGCATGGGTAATATATTGCCTAAAGAAAATGTAAAAGAATTGCAAATCTTATCTTGTGAGACAAGATTAGTTCTACTTAAACTCTATTTGATAAGATAGGGATTTATTTGATAAACAATCTAAGAATAAATTTAATTTAACTCTTCCATGAGATGGGAAAAGTAATCGAAATGCTGACTATAGCCTTTACATCTTAGAAAAGTAGGTCTAAAAACATTACTTGTCTTTCTGCTTTTTATATTGTATTAATATGTTTTTTTTTTTTTACTTTTTATTTATTTATTTATCACATTTTTTATTCTAAATATATTTTTTATATTGTTTCATTTTTTGATAATTAGGGACATATAACATTCATATCATATAGAAATTTTACGTAAAATAACACTTCATATGAAATTGACATGCTAAAAAAAAATTAAAAAAAAATCTTGATGTTTTTAATTTCTTAATTTATTTTTTATTTCTTAAGTATTTTTTATTTTTCTCTTGTCAAATTTGTTTGGCGTGATAGTAAAATTGTCATTTCTTATCAAAAAATTAATCAGAATTCTATTGAAAGAGTCATATTAAAAAAAAAAAAATTAAAACAAAAAGATATGAAAAAAAAGTAAAAGGGTCATAGTAAAAATATATGAAAATTAGAGAGACGAAATATGGATTAATCCTAAAACAGTGTTTAGGGAAACCAAACCATGGGAATACATTCATAGCTTTGTCCGAGAGTGGAAAAATCTCAGCACTCAACAGTTCTGCTTCTACATTTGAATTTCGGTGATAAGACATGTGCTTAGACTTTAAGGGGATCGCTGACACGATAAATAAATAATTAAAATGGATTGAGACTTTAAAAGAAAAATAAGCTCTATCAGCCTTTAAATGGAACCACAAAAAACGAGTAACTGTGGCATCTTAATTTGAGTAAACTATTATTTAGTCCTTGGTATTTTTAGTGAAATAATTAGTTTACCCATTTGCTTTTTAAAAAAATTCCACATTGAATCCTTATATTTTTATGTCTATTATTATTCGTCATAGTTGTAATAGTTTGTTTTCTTAAAATATGCCTTTTTTGTTGTAAAGTTTTCTAATTTTAACTACAACAAATAAAACCGAAGTGATAGTTTGGATATTTTGAGAAAGTTAACAGAGAAAGTGACATGTGCACTGCACGCCACTAATATTTATGTACATTAAAATTAATATACTCATCCAGAGAAAAACAGAGAGAAGTTCAATAGAAAATAGGGAAAAATGTATAACCTATTTTCCATTATGAAAAAAAAAAATCCCATTTCCCCCTTCAATATATTTATGAGAATACATATATTATTTTTTTTGACAAATGTAATCTTTATATGTTATTTTTAACGGTCAACTCTTTAACCGTTAGCATTTCGTTTTTTTAAATAGTTAAGCTAGTCAAAACATAATCTACATAAGATTTTATAGTAATTATTCGTTAGATTTTAAAATTAATAACAGTCATAATTTTTTTAAAAAAAGTACGGATAATCAAATTAAAAATAAAAATATAAACCCTCGATTATAAATAAAACAAAATATTCATACTCATGTGGTGGATATGTTAGCATGCAAATGTGTTAATTTAATGATTATGTTAGCAAAAAATTAACAGAAATACCTAATTTAAAAAATTAAAAATTTATACTAATGACAATCTAGTTAATACTATATTTAATTATTTTAATTTATTTCTAATCTTGATAATTTAATGATAATGTCAGCATGAATGTAACAAAAATACTTGACTAGAAATGAAAGTTATACTTTTATTGTTTCAGTTTAAATATATTTAATTTTATTTTTTATTTGATTATTTGTACTTTCACACACACACACACACACATATATAGTTTTTTTAACTAGCATATATCTCGCGCGTTGTCGCGGGATGAATTATATATCATTCTTATGCATTAATTAATATAAAATTTAACATTTACAAATCATTATTTGACAATATCAAGCGAAAATAATTTTTTTAAAAAAATAAAACATATATTTTATAATTTGCTATAGGGTTAGCTAATGAAAAATCAGTAAAGTTGAGTATTATAATATTGCTCATTGGATATTTTTTTTATATAAACATGTATTTTATTAATAGCTGATAATTAAAATAATAATGTGATAGGTTTTTTGAATTTTTGATGATTAATTTTTATTATATATTATTCATCTATAATTTATTAATGAGACAGAGAGACCACTCAAAACAAAAAGATAAAAAAGCTCTGTCAAATCGAGAAATTGACAAAAAAAATAGAGATAAAATTACACATGATAAAAATTAAATGATTAAAACAAAGTAAAGATTATAGAAGGATAAAAATAAATAAAAAAAACTTTCACTAAAAGCATACAAAAAATACTTATAAATAATAAGACTAAAAAATTTCATTGTGCGTAAGGCAGGAACAAAAGTAAACATTATAGAATTTTAATGACTAAAATAAAAAAATTAATAAGATAAGAATCAAAACAGAAAATTTTCACTAAAAATAAAAGAAAAACTTCGGATAGTTAAAATGTGTTTAATTTTAATGTAAAATGATTAATAATTAAATATAATAAAATTTTAATGATCAAAATAAATGAAAGATCATAAAAAAAAACCAAAATATAAAAAAAAGTTTTATTAAAAGTAAAAAATAGCTCATTGTAGGAAAATTTTTTAATTATATATATAAAAAAAACAATTACAAAAAAAAGACTAATTTTTTTTTTTACTAAATTTAATGACGAAAAGAAAGAAAAAATAACGGAATAGAAATTAGAATAGAAAGAAAATTTCAGTAAAAAAAAAAACTTAGGATAGTAAATTTATTTAGTTTTAGCATAGTAAGGATAAAAATTAAATATGAGAAAATTTTCATAACTAAAATAAAAACATATTAAACGACAGAAAAAAACATAAATTTTTACTAAAAGTTCAAAAAATTTTTGATTATAAGGATTAAAATCACATATAATAAAATTTTAATATTTTTGATAGGGATAAAAATCAAAGATCGGAAAAGATGAATGACCAAAATTAAAAAAAAAGAATGAAGGGACCAAAATAAATAAGAATTTCCTAAGCCGAAACGGAAGGAAAAAAAAAGAAAAAAAAACAGCTAGGCTTGCGCGTTAGGCCGAGCCCGCGCATCGAGCTCGGGCTCGCCGCCAAAAAAAAAAAAAGGATCGCAACTTCCGACGATCGAGGTCACCGGAATCTTCGTCGGAAAGTCGTGGTTCAAGTTTCAAATTTCTAGCAATTGAATTTCAGCATTATTTTTTTCCCAAAACACCTCTAAATGACCGAAATAAAGCCAATAAACATATCTAAAACCTTAAAAATCATTTTAATGCATAGAAAAATAAAAACAAATTACACAATCAAATCGAAACTTTGTTTCCTTTTTTGACTCCGATCTACCTCCTCTAATGGTTTAATAGCTTGAAACAATCATGGACAAACTCATCTCTCAAAGATAAACAAATCTAGTAGATTTTTGCGATCAAAAGGGCTTAAATAAGCTTGACCGATGATTTTCTCTTTTCTCCAGTCTCTCTCTTCTCTCCTCCCTTCTCTCTCATCCAGGGATCAAAATGGATGAGCAAATGAAGATATGGATCGAAAGATTAGTTGACAAAGATCAGGAACCAAAGTGTAAAAAATCAATGAACAAGTGAATTATGAGTGTGTGAACAGTATTTAGAACAGTATACTGACGTTTTATTTTAATTTATTTAGTTAATTTTGAAATCAATGAATATCCGTTATATAATCTTATGTAGACTACATTTTGATTTAATTAACTATATTAAAAAAAAGAATGTAAACGATCAATCTTTTAATAGATAAAAATAACGAATAAAAATTATACTTATAAAAAAATAATAATTTAAAAATTTAATAGTTTGAGAATAATTTTTGTCCTTAAAACCCACGTAACACCCACTACCATAAACATTAATCTCGCCTAAAAATTCAAGTGCAAGTACTTGGTAGTTATCTAGGTTTGCTAATTGTCTTTGCTGTTGATATGATTTATTTAACCACAAAGCGACACGTAATAATTCAAGAAGAATCGTTGACCGATGAGTGGACTATTAAAAGTCACATGACCTGGGAAATTTCCATGTCTCTTGCTTTCTCCCTCGATTGACAAATTCAAAGATTATTATTGGCCTCAATCTACCCTCCTGATCGCAACGGAACGCCAGTATTCGTGACCGGATGGAACCTAATCATGCAGCATCTTAGTCAAATGGACGGTGAAAAATCGGTGAAGGTGTCTATCGCGAAAAGATTTTCCATGAAAACTGCAGTTATTGATGAGTATGAGATGGCTCGTACAATGACGTGAAAATGACTTGGCTTGCTTAGGCTGAAACAGAACAAGAGACCCAACTGTTGAATATGGTGTGATTTTTATTTTCTTGGAGGAATGAAAATTTTAATTTACAATATCAAAATGAGACAACATCGATCGATCGGGTTGTTTCAAAAACTTAGTCATCGTATTTTATTTATTTTTTTCTTTTTTAATTATTTTCTCAAGTTATCTGCAAGTTAGATCAAACTAAATAGACACCAGCTAACAATATATATATATATATATATATATATATATATAACGCTCCTATATTAATTAATTGTATGACTAAAAGGAGATCGAGCTGATCATATGATTACTTGTTAACTTTTGCTTCACGCTTTACAATTCTCGTTAGTCATAACTACTCACTGGCTACTTAATTCCTCTTTTACTCTATGCGTTTGCTTTAACGTGTAGAGCAACAAAAGCATGGCTAATATATAGCCTTACATCATAAATTAAAAAACTAAAAAAAAAAAAACGTAAAACTAATGCAAATCTTATCTTGTGAGACAAAATTAGTTCTACCTAAACTCTATCCTATAAGATAGGGATTTATTTGATAAACAAACTAAGTAAACATTCTAAGAATAAATCAACTTTAATTCGTGCATGAGATAGGGAAAGTAATGGAAATGTCGACTATAGCCTTATCTAAGAAAAGTGGGTCTAAAAGCATAATTCGTCTTTCTACTTTTTATATTTTCTTAATTTGCTTTTTTTTTTTTTACTTTTTATTTATTTATCACATTTTTTATTTTAGATAATTTTTTTTTATGCAGCCTCTCTAGTGAGGTTTTGTTTCATTTTTTAGATAATTAGGGACTTGTAACATTTATGTCACATAGAATTTTCACATAAAATGACACTTCATATGAAATTGACACATGAAAAAAAAATCTCTATGTTTTTAATTTTTTTAATTTATTATTTTATTTCTTAAGTTTATTTATTTATTTTTTCTTGTGTCAAATTTGTTTGGTGTGATAGTACACTTGTCATTTCTTATCAAACATTAATCGGAATTCTATGGAAAGAGTCATGTTAAAAAAAATTTTAAGCAAAAAGATGTGATAAAAAAGTAAAACGGCCAGATTAAAAATATATGAAAATTAAAGAGACTAAATAGGGATTAATCCTAGAAGAGCGTTTAGGGAAACCATGGGAATGCAATTATAGCTTCGCACGAGAGAGGAAAAATTTCACCGCTCAACAGTTCTGCTTCTAGATTTGAATTAAGGTGACGGGACATGTGCTTAGACTTTGAGGGGATCGCTGACACAATAAATAAATAATTAAAATGGATGGAGACTTTAAAAGAAAAATAAGCTACATCAGCCTTTAATTGGAACAACAAAAGTGAGTAACCGTGGTATCTTAATTTGAGCAAACTATTATTTAGTCCTTGGTATTTTTAGTGAAATAGTTAGTTTACCGATTTGTTTTTTTTTTTTAATTCCACATTGAATCCCTATATTTTTATATCTATTATTATTCGTCATAGTTTTAATAGTTTGTTTTCTTAAAATATGCCTTTTTGTTGTAAGAATTTCTAATTGTAACCACTACAAATAAAACCGAATTGATCGTTTGGATATTTTGAGAAAGTTAACAGAGAAAGTGACATATGTACTGCACACCACTAATATCTATATATGTTAGATTAATATACTCGTGGAGATAAAAACAGATAGAAAATTCAATAGAAAATAGGGCAAAATGTATAACCTATTTTCCATTATGGAAAAACAAAAGAATATATATATATATATGGCAAATGCGATATTTTCATGTTATTTTTAACAGGCAATTCTTTGATAGTTAATATATATATATATATTTTTATAAATAGTTAACTTAGTTAAAATATAGTCTACATAAAGTTGTATAATAATTATTCCTTAGATTTTAAAATTAATAACATCATCAATTTTTTTTAAAAAAATACAAACAATCAAATAAAAAAATAAAAATACAAACACTCGATTAAAAATAAAATAAAATATTCATGCTCATGTGGTAGACAAGTCTCGATGTGTCAATTTAATAATTACATTAGAAAAAAAATTAAAAGAAATACTTAATTAAAAATTTTAAAATTTACATTTAAGACAATCTAATTATTATTATATTTAATTATTTTATTTTATTTTTAATTTAATCAATTTAATGTTCATGCTAGCATGAATTTAATAATCTCTTTACAAATACTTGGTAGTTATCTAGGTTTGCTAATTGTCCTTGCCTTTGATATAATTTGTTTAATCCACAAAGCGACATGTAATAATTCAAGAAGAATCGTTGACCCATGAGGGGACTTTGGAGATTCAAGAAGAATAGTCGTCAACCATTCCATGACCTGGAAATTTCAACATCAATCTTGATTTCTCCCTCGATTGACAAATTCAAAGATTATTATTGGGAAGAATCGTTGTCAACCATCACATGACCTGGAAATTTTCAACATCACTCTTGCTTTCTCCCTCGATTGACAAATTCAAAGATTATTATTGGCCTCAATCTACCATATTGATGGCAGCGGAAAGCCGGTATTCATGGCTGGATGGAATCTAATCATGCAGCATCTTAGACAAGTGGATGGTGAAAAAATTGGTGAAGGTGTCTATCACGAAAAGATTTTCCATGAAAACTGCTGTTATGATGTGAAAATGACGCGGCTTGCTTAGGCTGAAAGAGAACGGGAGATCAACTGGTGAACATGGTGTGATTTTTTCCGCTTCAGACTTGTAAAACAATTTTTTTTTAATCAAGTGAGAAATTTTCTGACAATCAAGTCAGTACTCAGAAAATAAGAAATTTAACCGTATAGATTTTTTTAGTGAAAACAATATATATATATATATATATACGTGATGGATAAATATTTTCAGGTCTAAGAAGTTGTTGGAAATTGGAAACCTAATATTCTTTATGATTAACGTTTTATGGAAGTAAGAGTACTTGTGCATGTTACATGCCAAGAAGGGTATAATTATCTTTCTATCTTAATGATGGTGGTCTTGAATTGACAAACAAAATGGTTATTGTCCTTTGATGTCGTACATGGACGGTTTAGCAGTAACATGCGTGATACATGTTTTGATGTGATTAAGGAGATAATCGGAACGTGCTTTCATTAAATACAGCCCCTCTAGATTTTTTCGACGATGGCGCTTGTTTATCTTTTTCAATCTCAAACAGTGAAGTGGCCTGCAGTTACAGAACGTAATTGCTACGGTGTCTCTCGTTTGATCCTACTATTTTTTCCAGATATATCAGTTATTATTTATTTTCTTCTGCTAAAAAACTAATAGGAAGTTTATGCCAAGAAAATAAATTAAGATTGGCTAGTGTTATAATTAGAAATAAATCACGAATTTTATTTGGACAGCAATGAAGGAAATGAATACTAGATCAAGGAAAAATTTCAAAGCTTTTTATTTATTTATTATTATTATTTCTAGCTTAGAATTCATATCTGCTGAGTGCTGATAGTAAAAGTTGACAACGGGCCTTCGTTTGAGAAAATCGATGCGCTTGATTTCTCACATTAAACTTCATATTTTCTCATTAATTAGTCATAATTACTCACTAAATAATTCCACTTTTAGTTTATGTGTTTGCGTTTACGCATAGAGCAACAAATGATGCCTGACTATGACTATCAGATTTTTTTTTAATAATATTTTGAAATTACATAACGCTAATTTTCTCCATGGATAAGTTGTTCTATGTGCCACAAAGAATGATGTAATTAACCAGTAGCCATGATATAATAACATATAATACTGCATTTGATTGACTGCATCCATTTCTCTCTTGATGAGAAATATTATCGATCAAATTCCTTACGAGAAGCTCGCTTTTTGTCAAACTTTGTTTATTGTCTCGTTTGTTTGTTTGAATGTTTCTTATTAAAAGTCTACAAGGTAAACATCTGTAATTTTTTATGAAATTTTTAGGCATGAACCACGATAATGACAATTTTATATCAAACAACGCGTGCATGTTTGATTGCCTCGTCTGACTATTTAAATTAGTTGTAGTGACAATTAAAGATTGTCCACCTCTATGATGATATTTTTTGAAATTATCTTATCAAGATACAATGTAATTTTATTTTTTTAATATATATATATATATCACAAATAGAATATATTCAGATGTAAAGATTAAATTCATTTTTGGAAGTATAATTAATTAAAGAAATACGATCCACGTTAGAAAAATATATATGATCTCTTGATGTAATTATCTTTTCCTTTCATCACTCCTTTGAGAACACATGATTTGAAAAATTCTGAGGCATTTCTATCATAAATAAATGACGAAGTATTTGCCCGTTCTATAAGCTAGTTTTACCACTTCTAAAAGAAGTTTTTCACATGCTAACGCGGGGACTTGACGTACAATTGTGGAAAACGAGGACCCAATTACTTGTCAAGAACCTACAATCATCCACCCGTTAAATGGACAAGGGAAACCTTCTTTGCCGCGTTCATTAATCAGTGAAAGCCACCGAAATCTGTACTATCAGGCTGGCCTTTACATCGTAGAAAATTGTCAAGGGAAACCATGGGAATACAATCATAGCTTTGTACGAGAGTGGAGAAGTATCAGCATTCAACAGTTTCTCTTCTACATTTGCATTTCGGTGATAAGACATGTGCATAGACTTTTGATGGCTCTAATGACATTATTTACTTTCAGAACTCAAGGACAGTGGGCAAATAAAATTCATGTTATCAATTTGAGTTCTTCAGATATTAAAATTATTAACATTTTGACATTTGTTTTTTGTATTTGACTATCAAAGTATTAGAAATATTTAAAATGAAATCGTTTTAAGTATTATAATTTTTTTATAATTAAATTTTAATTTAAAAGATATTTAATAATAGCTAGCTTTAAGAAAATTTATATGATTTTTGTTGTTGGATAATTAATGATGGAAAATGGATCTATTTAGTAAAATAATAATAATAATAATATTAAATTGACTTTTTTTTTCTGAAACTTTTTGACAATTAAAATCATTTTTGAAAAAAATATTTAATAATAGTTAGTTTTAAGGAATCTTAGATGATTTTGTTGCTTATGGATCTTACTTTTGTTGTTGGGTAATTTATATTTTGCAACAGATCCATCTAAAAAAACTAAATTATTTTTTTAAAATTAATTTTAATTGTTAAAAAAAAAACCAAAATGCTTTAAACGATGTCGTTTTAAGTGTTTCTATTAATTGTAAATTATGTAATTAAATGTCAATAAAAAATGGATAAAGACTTTAATTAAAAAAAAAAGCTCAATTGGGTAATTATTATTTATTCCTTGTATATTTTTAGAGAAATAATTAGCTTACCCCTTTGGTTTTTTAAAATCTCACATGGAATTCTTATATTTTTACATCCGTTTTTATTCGTCATAGTTTAATAGTTGAATTTTTTTTTTTTAAATATGCATTTTTGTTGTCAAATTTTCGAATCTTATGGATTACAAATAAAATAAAATAAAAAGATAATTTGGATGTTTTGAAAAAGTTAACAGTCAACTTCAGCCAAATGATTGATATATAATTTCTAAAAAAGGGAGAGAGAGAGAGAGACAAACTAATAACATATAAAACCACAAGTCTAAGTAATTATAAGGGAGAGTGAAGAAATAGAAAATTCACCTCCTGTTTTATAAGCTAAAAAAAAAATCCAGGAACCTGTAGTTTTTAGGCAATTGAGTGAATGTTTTGGTTTCGTTAACTTTCAAATTGTTAAGTTTAATGCAATAAGATCGGTAGAGGATGGTGAGTTAACACGGTTACACGGACAGATAGCAATCCCTTCTATTGGAATTTAAAATTTTAAAGGCGATTGGAGCTACAGTCGCAATACCCAATACGTAGTCATATGGTAGATTAAAATTGGGTTAACATGAGCAGGCCCAAAAAGCTTAGATAGCATGGGCTTCGGTTAAAAAAGTCTTCGACTTTGATTTGGCAGCCTGAGTGATACCCTGAAAATTGCAACCTCGCTTTTTTTCTTTATAACGCAACTCTCCCACGATGGGGCAGGTTGTTTACATGCTGTTAAGTTGATAATTGCGTAGGATTATTACTAATATCTGAACAAGAATTTTTGTGTTTATATTGAATAAAGTATTTAATTAAACTAATTTTCATTAATTAAAAATTTACTTAGACAACAACTCATCAATATCTATGCTCATTATTTATTCAGTTATAAAATTGCAATTACCTTGCATTCTTGTAAAAACACAAATTGCAAATAGACACAATTCTAGTTTTCCGAAAAATTATGTATAAAAAATTCATAATAATATTTAAATAAGATAAAAAAAATTATTTCCTACTTGATCTTGTTAAAAAATAAATTAGTATCCTTGTTTCCAAAAGAATAGACGCTACTACAAAATTTTTTTAGGTCAATCGCATGAACTCCATGAATTTATCTTGCCCAATTCTACCACGTGCCCTCATATATTTTTTTTAGGGTGTCTCCAAGAACCATTTAGAATCATGACACTTTAACATGTCTTTAATTTATCTAAGTAATTTTTAATCTTATTACATTTACATGCTTATTAAATGTTTCTACTGACAATTCGTTTTTGTCACGGACGCTGCTTTCATATATTCAGAGGGAATATAGTCGACTTTTATCTCTCGTTTTTCAATCATATCTCATATAAAATTAAAATTTACATCTATGCATTTGCCTTTAAAGCTTACTACACAATTCTTTATTAATGATATGACAATCTTGCTATCCCAAAATACATTTACAAGCCTAAATGATTCTTTAAATTTCAAACTTTCAGCAAAGTGGTAACTCCAAATTGCATGTGTGGCTATTATACTAGAGGCTACATATTCAGTTATTTATTTTTATTTTTTATTTTGAATTTTGAACTTTGAAAAAGAGCACACAACTGGGTTCTGGAGAAAGAAATTCCAATAGCATCACCTAAAATAATATTGACTAGATCCAATAGAGAATAGTTCCAAACATGCAATAGCATGTCGCTAGAAGAATCATTCTTAGCTACAAAGTCAAGCTCTACGATTGTCTTTCCTCAAAATATGACTACATGGCCTTGTCCACTAGTGTTGACAAATACAATGAATATCAAAAATAATATTATAGTATGAGTGAGAATGTAAAACCTCATTTTGAATAGTATGGATTGTTTCTAAGAAGCCAGTTTCCATTACCACCTTCTTGTACCCCATATCCCAAGCAATAATAAGCCTCCAATGGGCAACATCCATCTCTACAAGCATAATGGAAGAGTGACCAAGAAAAATTGAGAAACCATCAATCCACAGCCCATTTAAATTTTAGAGAATATAACCAATCCAAGCATGATTAGCTCAAAATATAACTACATGGCCCTGTCCACTAGTGTTGACAAAGACAATGAATATTAAAGATGATATTATAGTACGGGTGAGAGTGTGAAACCCCATTTTGAATAGCATGGCTTGTTTCTAGGAAGCCAGTCTCCATTACCACTTTTTTGTACCCCATATCCCAAGCAATACTAAGCCTCCAACGGACAACTTTCATCTCTACAAGCATAATGGAAGAGTGACCAAAAAATTAAAAAACCATCAATCCACGTCCCATACAAATTCCAGAGAATACCACCAATCCCAGCATGATTAGCTAAATCAAGATAACTACCGTTTGTGTTGAATTTGATTGAATCTAATGGAGGGGTTGCTAAGAGACCCAACACAGAGTAGTCTAAGAAACATCCCTTGGAATAGTGTCAAAGGCTACCTAACAATCTTAGATGAGAGAGTGGATCATCTATAATTGACTTCTAGCCGAACTAATAGTACCCTAGATGACTTCTTAATTTTGAGACTTTCAAATAAACTAACATGCAAGGATGAATGTTCGATGTCTATGTCAAAGAATGGAGTGGTCAAAAACATTCTTATGAAACCAATCCTCCTAAGATATAGAAAAGAGGTCAAAGGGTATGGAAAAGAGAAGAAGATTTTGCCATACATCCATAGCCCATAAACACTCTTGGAGAATATGGATAATTGACTCCTAGGCTACCCCACATCTGGCATAAATGGAAGATATCGTTAATCCTTTATAAAATCGAAGAAAATTGCTCGGTAAGCACTATCACTCTAATTGCCAAAGAAAGAAGTGTTGCTTTTGGGATAGCAAAAACTTCAGATACTCTTTTAATGGGCATTGAGCTCCATTGGGTAAGGAATTCTAGTGACAAATTCGTACCCAGATTTTATAGTGTATTGACCAGAACTAGTTTCACCCCAAGCTAATCTATCCACAGTAGAATGAACTCTGAAAAGACGAGTGCCTAGTAGAAAGGAACTGATATCAGATAAGAAAGTTGTACGAATTCAGAAAAGATCCCAACAACCACAAGTAGATATGATATCTGCAACCACCATATCATTTTCCCCCTTAACAATAAAAGGAACAAAGTGTCTTAGAACATAAGAGGATGTCCAACGATCAAACCAGAGGGATACATTTTTCCCATCCCTAATTCTCCAAATATAATCATTCGTTAGGTAAGACATAGACTTACATATAGGTTTCAAATCAGATATGCTAGTTGAGGAAGTTGATGAGTCAAGAGGAAGTCCTCTTAGAGATACTTTTTACATAACACACGAAACCAAGGTTTTTCTCTATCCTTGATAATATCCCATCCCAACTTACCAAAGCATAGCAATTTTACTATCTCTTACCATCTAAAGACCTAGACCCTCTCTAATCTTAGAAAATATAATAACTTCCCAATTCACCAAATGGATCCCTTTAGCCATCATCCATGGATCTTCATAAGAAATATCTGGCGAGTCTGTCAATCTCATTACAAATTGAATAAAACAGCCAGATAGATTACATAGTGTTGAGAGGAATAATGGTCATCGTCGACTGAATAAAAGTGCATCGGCCAGCCCTGCTAAGCATTTTTGACTTCCATCCTACCAAACGAATATGAATCTTTTCTATAATATGCTTGAAAGAAACCCTCTTTTTCTTCACAAAGAGAGGCACACCCAAGTAGTTCTTGAAATCAGAAGTAAATGAAAAATCCGATTGCCTTCGCAGTTCTTCTTTATGCCTTTAGGAAGTAACAGGGGATATAAAAGCATGAGTTTTTCTTTATCACTCACCAACATTCCTGAGCTGGCACAAAACTAATTCATAGTCTCTAAAACAACTTGATAATGATGGTGGGAGGCATAGGAGAACAAGATTGCATCATCAGCAAATAAAAGATGGGAGATAGCCAAACCACCACGGAAGACTGGGATTGGCTTTCACAAAGAAGTAGCAACTCTTGTAAATGTGCAAAAATCCCTCTACCCATTCTTATGGCCCCATAATTGGGTTCACGAACTTTTTTAAAAGCAGCAATTTTACTAAAAGCTAGCTATGTCTATATGAGGTTTATTAAAAAAATAGAAAAAAAGTGATGGGCTTTTTGAATAGTATGTAAAGAAGAAATGAGTGCTACCAAAATAGTCTAGAACAGTCATGCCATTAGTGAAACGACCAGTTGTAGCATGATTGAAGTCAATGCTATAAGGAAGAGAATTTGCTTTGGCTTTTGTTAAAAGATTATTATTATTTCCTGCGTCTATGGTGGAATCACCAAATATACATAAGGTTGGTACAAGCTTTGTGTTCTTAGCGTTCTCATAGATGGAGAAAAACTGAAAGACAAGGAAACAAAAGAGAGATTAAAAGATCAATGAGTTTGTAGTCCAACCGATAGTAGTCTTTTGCAAGAAGTGATAGGTTCAAATACTAGCATATTATTTTTGTTAGAAATCTTAAATATTTGAGTTAAAAAAATAAAAAAAGAGATAAAAAGCACCAATATTAGAGATTTTACCATGGACCTTAACCAATAAAAAAAATGCTCCACTTTATATTGTTTTGGTTAAGAAAGAAATATAGTATTACTAAACACATTTGAAAAAACACAAAAGTAAATGCACCGACTGCTAAAAAAAGATCTAAAATAAGAACGAAAAATATTGCAAGATGAACCCTCCTCAAAATTCACTTTGCAAGTCGAAAACATTGTCATATTTTAAATATTATGTTATGCCTTATATTCATTTTTTTTAGGAAAAAAAACTTATGCCTTAAATTATAAACGAGTTTATTCTAGGAAGATGGTGGGTAGAGGCTTTTAAAATAAGCAGATGTCAATCTATATTACACACTGCACGAGCAAGACGAACCAAAGTGGAGATAGCCTCATGCATTGTTTTGTAGTACATAAACGGTGAACCTTTAAATCCTAAGTTTATTAGATTACAAGAATCTAGATTGTCCCAAAATTTTTTAGCTCTAGTCAAGTAAAAGTAACCACCCTACTTCTTTGAATGGTGGTGTAATCATTGAAGTCGCCAATCAAAAGCCATGGCAAAACAATGATATAAAAAATTCTCCTTATGTCATCCCACAAAACCTCGTGCCTTGAAGCTCTAGGACATGCATAAATAGTTGATAGAAATCATTAATTCCCATTCGGATCAATAACTGAAAAGTGAATATGGACAAATAAAACATGAAGTTATACATTCATATTGTTCCACATACTTAAAATGCCACCTGAAAATCCATTCGAATCAATTCTCACAATGCTATCAAACCCAATAGCTTTAGAAGTATTTGATGCTCATTGTCCCGAGATATGAGATTCAACAATAACTAGAATATCAGGCTTACACTCTCAAATAAGATCCTTAATATAAAAGTAGAAATTTGCATTTCCTACCGCTTGACAGTTCCGAACTACTATATTAAATTTATTAATCATAAAATTAATAATTAATAAAATAGAGTAGGACTGATTAATTACCTACAGTAGGTACATCAATAGCCCCCAAAGCCAGCGGTATATCTCCATGGTCAATAGGGTCATTGTCTATCATCTCATCTGCACGCGTGGCATCCATGGCATTGAATGGGGATGGGGACTGCTGTTGTTCACTTGGGGTAGGGTCAGGTGGCATCAACTGGGTTGGATTAAATTAATCTTATGCTCTTAGGGAGTGATCGTCATTGGTGCCATCGGAAATCCTTCTTCGTGAAAGGCAAATTTGAATGTCTCTGTCATTAGAGTAATGGCTGGATCTTTAATTGGGCTTGGGGTAGATATATCGGTACTTGGGGGCTGGGTTTTCTTTTGTTTTGAGCGAAGGGAGTTGGGTCTATTGGGTAAGTGGCTTTGAAAGGCATTTGTGGGATGAAGAGTATTGGGGTCAGTTTCAGGAAAAGTGGGCTTCAACTTGGCCACCTTTTGAGGCTCAGTTGAAGAGCCTGTGGCCTTTCCTTTGGATTTAGGCTGAGTTTTTGTGTCCTGCTTCTGAGTTGTCCCTTCCATATAAACAAATTCTCCAGTACCTGTCTTTAATGGTGTGGGAGGTGTGGCAGAGGCATTTTTTTTCTCCACCAACATCCAGTGTCCAAATTCAGATTTGTCATTTCAGTCAGCTAGCAAATTTGTCTCTTTTTTTAATCCCTGTTTCGCCGTCTCCGTGGCTGTCCTTCTCAGACTGAACCAAGCTAGCAGAGGGGAGCTTCAGAGCACAATCATCTATTTTATGATCATAACGCACACAATTGAAGTAGATGGTGTGTAATCCTTCATACACAATATTGTAAGTTCTCCTAGTGGATGACCAAATTCAATCTCAACACAAATTTGAGCAAATTTTCCCGATTACCAAGAGTAGTTTTGACTGGGTTTCCAATACCAGACGCCACTACCATTAGCAAGTCTTTATCATAGTACGCACAGAAATATCTGGGATACGAACCTAGATGTTGAATCAACTGTTCCAACCGAAACCATAAACCCAGGCGTTCATGGTTTCACAGTAGGTTAATGGTCAAGAATCGTCCTAGTTCCTTCCCCAATAGCCCGATCAAAATCATCATGATCCTCAAATTTAATAAATAAATAAATAAATAATTCATGGCTATGGCTAGCTACACAAGTTTTTTTTTTTACTTGATCATGAAATTACACCTCCTCTAAGTAAAAAAATATTACCACTAGTGGATTTTCAATCATTATGATCATTTGCAAAAGCCACGTCTGAATAATAATAGATTTCCAAGTTACCATGTTCAAACCATAATTTTATTTTTTCTAATACCTTGAATGTATCTAAAACGTCTTTTAACAGACTGCCAATACTTTTTTCCAGAATTTGTTTGAAATCAACTAATCATTCCAACCGCAAAGTAAATATCCAGTCTATTGCTAGTCACGGCATGCGTTAGACCGCCTACGCCTTGAGCATAAGGGATATTTTTTTACTGTTTTAATATCACCATCACTTTTTGGACTTTCTGACTTTCAAGGATCAAGCCTTTGCATGTTGCTACCTCGCTCAAGTATTTTTTCTTGACCTATATTTTGTAGTTTTGATTTTCTATCTCTTGTAATTTGAATGCTTAACACGAAAAACTCATGTTTCATATTTTCATTTCAAATTTCCTTTGTAGATATACTTTGATTTTTTTTTTTTTTATCATCATCTCAATATTATTGTCCGCAAGAAATATGTTGTCTATATACAATGATGATATGACAAATTTTTATTTTTTATCCTGTCTCATATTAAATTTCTAATACTCGCTTTGTAGAAAGCTAAATATTATTATTTAAAATAATTCGTAGTTTTAACTAATCGTTATTACGTTATATAACGATTGTTATGTAACGGTTTCGAAGCATTTCGTTATTGTTATTTTAGTATTATAGTAAGCTACGATCCATAATAGTAATCGCGATCGTTTTTTTAATCGTTCACGATTTAAAATTATAGTTTGAATGATTATTTTAAACAATAAAAGAATTTGTTTAGTTTATAAACTTTATCTTTTTTAAGAAAGCAATTTAACATCAAGTCAAATTAATTCAAGATTCAACTCAGTAACTAAGGCCATTATAATTCGAATGGATATAAATTTTCCAGTTGGAGAATATGTATTTTCATAATCTATTTTAGGTTTTTACGTGCATCGTTTCACAACTAATCTTGCTTTATGTTTTTCAAGTGTTCCATCTGACTTGACCTTCTTTTAAAACCCGTTTACATCTATTAGGTTTTCTTTCTTGAGGTAAATCCATTGATGTTAAAACTTTATTCTTCTTAATTGAATATCTATTTACTCGTTTATAGTAATATTCTAACAAATTGATTCATAGAATATAGCTCCCTCATAATTACGCACGTCCTCTGCACTTGATATAGTAAGAACGTATTATACATTGATGAAGGCTTTTTTTCTTTCTTCCACTTTCTATGATATTTTTATCACTCTCCTTTGTTTTTTTTTTAAGGCACAAATATAGGAATATTTTCGTGTTATTTTTCATTTAACATTTCTTGTTCTTTTATCATTGTTGACTCTTCCAAAGAAATAACTTGATTTACATCTTCAACAAAGACAACATCTCTACTTTTTATAATGCTTTGTGATAGAAACGATATCCTGTTTCATTAGTTTCATAACTTCTATCACTTAATTTATCTCTAAGAGGTTTAGAAATGAGGACGAAAGACTTGCATCTCTATATTCTTGAATTTGGTAAATATGGTTTATGATCCATTCCACTTTCAAATGGGATTAATTTTCTAGCTTTTGTAGTCACTCCATTTAGAATATAAGTTATCATGCAAAGTCTCTGATTGAATTAATTTCTATTAATTAGACATCCGTTTATATATAGATAACACACTAATGGATGTGTATTTATTATTTGTTAGTTTTAGAATTGGAGTTAACTTGCTACTCTTCGTTAATTCTAATAGACATAACTTTTGTGAATAAATACAAGTTGTGAATAGACACAATTCTAATCTTACGAAAAAACTATTTATGAAAAACCCTTAATAATATTTAAATAAGATTAAATATTTGTTTAAAAAAAAACGGATCAAAGAATGTGGGCAGCAAAATATGTCAGGAATTTTTACTCTGAATATTTGATAATACTTGATTTAAGAATTTTTTGGCAACTCGGCCAGGGTGTCTGTGTGTTGTTTTTCTATCCAAATGTTGCTTTGCAAGATAGCAGAAAAATTTATAATCTTGAATTTCCTAATACTCTATTCTATCCAAGCGTGGACAAGATTATTATATTCTTCTTTCTTCTACTTCTTCTTTTTTAAAAATAAATAAATAAATAATGGCATCCATAAATTTACAAAGTTTATGTCATTTTTTAAGAATATATGTTCTCATACAGTCACAATCGCAAGCTCAGCTCAAATTTGTATATATTAATATGGATAAATAATTAATTTCTGGAAATAAATTACTAATTGCGTGTGCTTTTGCAGGATCTACAATATCAATAGAGAAACAATGGTTAAGAATCAGAAAAAGAGAAAATAATAGTTTATATGAAATGTATAAAAGAGAAATTGAACTTTAATATTAACCAATGGCTAATATTATTACATATATTGATATGTATTTAATTTCCACTTCTTGAAACGAGAAACAAATGATATAAAATCAAATTACTATCGGCAAGCCGGCAATTTGTAACCTCATGTGTTCACAAATCTGCAGTTTGTCCTAACTTCCCCATTGACAAAGCTATCAGGATTCGTAATATTTCCCATTTTCACCATAGAATCTGAGAATTGCTGGAAGAAAGCAAGTGGGTCGTGAGCATACTTTATCACAAGATTCTTTGTATTGACTCCAAGCAAGCTTGAGTACAGTTCTTGGTCTGAGTTTAGCAGTCCATCTCCTTTCAATAGTAGCTGATAGAAAGAGTTGTCAAAAAGATTAGGCGTGATATAGTCCATTGCTGATACGTTATTGTCCCCAGCTCCTCCAGCAGCTGGGCACATAGATTTCAAGTTTTTGAGATGTGTCTCAGACATTGGACTTCTTTCCGAAGTTGTTTTGAAGTCCCCGTAAATCCTTGCCCGAAAATTTTCACAACGTGCCATGCCAATAGTGTGCGCCCCTGCAGATTTCACACTCAGGAATGGATTTTAAATATGAGAAATGCAATGTTTTTATTAGTTTTTAAGAAGTAGTTTTATGCAGGTTTACTGTCCCTCCAACTATAAGAGCATCCTACCTGAAAGAGCTACTAAATCAGTAACTGAAAGGCCTTGATAAAGAAATTTCGAAATGATAGGTAGTAGACCCTCATCTGCTGTTGGAAGATTTGATGCCGCTAGCTCGAAGCTTGCAGTTTTAGAATCTTTCCTTCCCAGAGGAACATCCCAATAGGGTCCCCCAACCTGGCAACGTTGTAACCAATCGGAAGGTGAAAAAGAGACCAAATTTTCTTGAGTTAGCAAAAAATTATGAATTTATTCTACTACCATCGCTAGCTAGTAATACTGAATTGTATTAGTACCAGAATGACTGCATCTCTTGCAGCGATGGTCAGTAGATCGGCACAAGAGACTATTCCGGGGCACTCGGATTCGATCTTGTTCTTAATTTTGTCAACGATTTCAAATCCTTTTAAAGAGTTTATGTTCGTTGAAGCTTTTTTTCCCCTTGCAAGGTGATTGTATCATCTAGCAAAACTGAACCATCACATCCCTGCACCAGTTGTTGGACCATATCCTATTACTTAGTTAGCTGGCTAGCATTTATAAGTATTGCATATATAGGGAAGGATATTAGAGTTGAAGAAAATCAATGATAATGCCAAAAGATGATAGGTGTGAACCTGAACAAAGCAGTCATGGAAATGTAATCTCACTATCAAAGCTGCATTACGTGGATCGGAAAGAACTTCACATTCCATTTCTTTCTTGACAATCTCCAACACATTGGGGCATGTAGAAGCATAGTAGTCTAATGTTAAAGGAGGGTCACTTGCATGCAAGCTTCTGCTGAGGATGGAGATGAAAACCAGCATAGCAAATGCCAATATGGGGAGCTTTGATTCATGAAGAGGAAAGGCCATTGTTGCTCCTTTCGCTTTTCTTGGATGATAGTAGAAGAGAGTGGGAGAGATGGGTTGGACTGAGTGAGATATATAATGAAAAGAAGGTAGATTCTTGGGCTTTGCTTTTTGCATGGCCGTTTGAGTATTTGGCGTAAAGATCTCTATAGTCAAGAGAGGATGCAACTAATGCTGGCCTGGTTGGTGGGTACTCGCATACCAAAATCACCAAATAGATACTCGTAGACACACACAAAGAAGTGCCTTGCAAACGTCTATATTTGCAGATTTAAATTACTTGAATGATTTGGACAAGTCACTCAACCTAAAACTGAACAGCTAATTATTATCCCTCATGTTTTACCCATTCAACCTTCGAAGCAATCTTCACATTCATCTTTCTTTCCTTCTCTTCCTGACCAAGTTGAGGCAATTGTGCATGACTTCATCTTCAAGAAAATGTGCTGCCTGTCTATTATTTAAAAACGTGTGGTAATCTACTTGAAGATTGCAGGCTGTTATTTGGTGTTGACTTCGTCGGTTGGATGGTTTGATTTTAACATAACGGGTTAAGCTAAGATGATTAATGTGATTTTAGTAATTTTATTTCCATGACTTTGAAACTAGCATTCGTAGGTTCTAGTTTACACACATCCTTTTCAATTATTCTTCCAGAACAAGGATGCCTACTCTGCCGTTCTTTCATGTTATCCTACTTTTGTACGAGAGCCAATCTAGAATGTAAGAAAATCAAATCCATCATCGTTGTGAAGCTACCGACCTTGTGTAGAATGATGAAACGTCTTAGGCCGCGAACTATGAATTCAAGTTTTCAACTTTTTGCAGTAATACCCAGGTCCCAGGCTCAGAATTGGCTAATACAATGATGGAACAAAGCTACGACAAGAACCTTTATAAAATGCTGGGCTGACAGTTCAATGATTCCCACAGGGTTACCGTGACTGAAGCCAGCAAGCGTGATTTGGGAGTGTTTCGTTTTTATGGTTTTTAATTTTCGTGCATTGACAGTGATTTACTTTGAATAGCTATGCTTTTGGATGAGACAGCATGGGAACAACAAGAGTACCTGGACCAGAGCAAAGTATGCTCAGAACAACCAAGTCTGGTGCCTATGTTACAATGAGACAACCGAGATGATCAATTTGTCCATGTATGGATTATGCAGCAGCGGTTTAATAAAATCCCAACATGCATTGGTTATACCTCTAAACATAAAGGGTAAAATGTCAAGCAGAAAACTAACATGTAGTTTCAATGCAAGATGAAAAAATACAAGTCAATGATGGAAACCAATGCAAGAGATCATATCAAGAGGAAAATAAGCAGTCTTCCTGCTCATGTCTTCCAAAGTTTTCGTAAGAGTAAAGTGTTACTAGCGAGCTAAATGAGCACTTTAAACCTAAAATACATCAGGTATACATATCGGAATCAAAAGGATAATTCTTGATTGAAGTGAACCTTGAAGATTTATCCTTGGCATCTCCAATTGAGCTCAAGTCAAAGCCATGCAGCACGTTCCTCTGTAGCAGAGACTTGACCATAGCCACCACAGGAACACCATGCCGAGGCCATGAAACACAAAGAGTTCCTCTGATTTTCCTCATCTGACATCTGGCCAACAGAGCAGCTGCCAAGCCATCCAGCACACTGCCTGAAGGAAAATAGTCTAAACCCTTCAGTAATGATGAACCTCCACAACCATTGCCATCCAGCCCTTTCCGCTCTGCTGATGTCTCTAGCTTGAAAACATATGTCTCATCTGGTGCGAGCTTACCCCGGAAGTTCTGGCTCTGAACTGAATCCAATATTAGAACCCTCTCAGGAATAATTTGATCACCAATAAGCAACTTAGCAACCGCATTGGATCTCTCGGCACTGACAGGGCACTGAACCAAGACAAGGAGTGTCAAATTCTCCGCCTCATTGAGGGCATAGATATTGCAAGACTTGTCACCAAGCGAGGGCTCAATTGAGTTGCCTGAGAAAGGGATCTCAGGTAGTAAGAGACTACCGATTAGGGTCTTCGAGGATATATGGTGCAAGACATAAAGAGAAGGGGAAGATAATGCAATGACAAGGAGAGAAGGGCGGAGAGGCTGATCGGGTTTAGGACTAGAGAACAGCAGGGAAGGAGACTGAAGCGGTAGTGGTGGAGTTGCAAAGTTATCCAGATCTTCCTGAAAGAACCTTGAAGGGGGCGGAAGCTCTGTAAGTACATCTTCCATATCTTCCTATGCAGCAAACCAAACAACCTGCTAATGAAAGCATATACATGATCAGTGTCGTTTGATTACAAATGAAAATGGATGGCTTATGCTAGTTAGTTCCAAAGTCTATACGATTGAATGCAATAAAAATTGAATATAAACAGCGAAGGTAACTCTTTTTTGTGTTGAAGACTTATTTAGGAGATAGTTTTGGGCCTCGTGCTTACAAAAATAAAACTATGCTAACACCATCACATTTGAACATAAAGTGCATAAATTGAAACAAGCACATTCACTAAAGGCCCTTATATTTCAGCACATTTGTACTGATTTGAAACTATTATATAGCAGCCAATGCAAAGTTTTCCTTAATGAAGATACGTGTCCCACTTAGGACCAGTAATCCTTTCACGTATACGTAAATATCAGGTTAATCTATAGCGATGCTACTACAAATAAGCTCCCCAATTCAGAGAGTAAATTAAGTGGATCTTCGTCTTTATAGCTAAAGGTTCACTCTTTCTTATCGAAGTGTAAATATGGAACATGACTTTGACTGCACCGACAAAATACCTAATTACCTTAACAAAGTTATATTAGTAAATAAATCGTATGTGTTAAAGCACATTGCACTAAAAGGTCCTTAAACCGCAGTTTTCTTCCCGTGAACTTTTCCGACTGAAAATAACCGTTCCACCCGGTAAATTTTTCATTTATGCAATTTTTTGGATTTAATAGTGCCAAAATAAGGAACCTCAGGCTCCCTTAGGTGGAAAACACTAAGTTGGAAATACTGAGCTTCCTAAATCCCGACATTCTCAAAGAAAGAAGTAATACGCAAAGTAGTGCAGCAGATTGAAAAATAAGAATTCCATTAAATCAGATGCCCTTTAATATAAATAGGTCATAATATTAAAAAAAAACATTGAATTTCATATTACTTTTCAATTACTAGCACAAAATTGACGAATATAATGAAATTGAAATTGCTATTCATCCAAACACTAATTCATTTATTAAAAAAAAAAAAAAAAGATCTAAAGCTAATTGCTGAAACCCATTATTATTCATAGGAAAAGGAAGCTCAAAATCCAAAATAATTGGTATTCTCGCATCCAGTTAACGCAATCCCTAGCCCAATAATCAGGAAAAAAATGGTTACCGGCTTTAAAGAAAAAGGAGAAGAACAGAAGGAGAAATAACAGCGGAAATAAAGCGCACCTAAGAACGATGTCGTCGAGGAGGCAGAGAAAGAGCGTATCAGACCGTTAGAACCCTCTGTTTCACTGTGTAGCTACTACTATCACAGTTTATAACTCTTGGGTATTATCATTTCATTATTTCTTCTTATCCAAGCTAGAATGGAAACTTATTAAAGCCTTTTTCTTTTAGTAAACTTCAAATTAGTCTCTAATGTATTTCCCCATTTCAATTAAGTACCAAATAGTTTGATTTTCTCAATTCTGCCCCTAAACAAGGTAGTTGTGAAATAATGTCACATCGTAATCCATTCACTGTTACCACCAGGTAAAAAGGTTTGCATGTACTCGTAAAAATATTTTTTATTAAACAATATATAAAAAGTAACCTAAAAGTAAATCATTATTTATAAACAAAACTAGACTATTATTTTTATTAAAAAATAGCTCATTCCATGATAAATTAATTTAACCACATTGAATTTACAAGTGATTTTTGTTATCTCATAAAAATTAAACATAAGAAGATAAATAACAAGAATCCATCCATAGAACTCGTTAAGTAATGCAAGTTTATTCACTCTTTTTTTCTCTAGATTATGACTAGTAAAATAGTACGCTTGTAAATCGCTTGCAATGCATTCTTTAATTTTATAATTTTCTTCTTCTTCTTCTTATTATTATTATTATTATTATTATTATATATATATATATATATATATATATATATATTAGTTTGATGAGTCAAGTGCCACATATATCCTCGTTCTAACGTAATTTGTTTTATCGTACATAGTTATTGTTAGAATATGATGACTATATCTTTTTTTTACGGTACAAAGTTTAAAGTTGTTTTTATTTGAGCATTAGGCTTCTTATTCTAAAGATTTTAATCTTTGTTAGTGTTTTTTATTTTTATAAATTTCAAATAATTTTATGTTTTTTTTATTTGTTTTCCATCTAAACCATACTAAAAAACTGATAAATTTTGATTTTGTATTATATATTTTCAAATATAAATGATGTAGATGGTATTGTTTAAACCTTTTAATGAAAGTTGAAGAGTTAGTCTCATCAAATTATTTTAAAAGAGTTCTATTTGACCAAATTTTAAAATTTCAAAGACTGAAATTTTTTTATGTTAGTTTGGGTAAACTAAAGGAAAACATGATTCCTGATTGAAACTTCAAAAAGTATATTGATGAAATCAAAACCTTAAGGAGAGAAGCAAGATTTGCCCCAAAAACTTAAAAAAGGTAAAATTGAAATTTACCTAAATTCTAATAAATAAATTCTAGCATACTCATTAAAAAAATAAGAAAGACACTCACACAATCATTATTGATCAATCATTTTTTTGAATATAAAATTATGAAGTTTTCTATCTATATAATTATGAATTTTTTCTAATCACATTGATTTGTTATGATTTTAAGTATTGAAGGAAATTAAATTGAATGATTGTTAAAGTGTTATATAGTGACCTCTCGGTAATTGAAAAAAATATAATTATTAGAAATGTAAAGTCGTCATTCGAGTTTTCTAAAAAATAAAAATTAAGAAAAACCTAATATTAATCTTAAGAGAGTTAGTTACACAAATAAAGAAGACTATGATCACTCTAGTGTGCCATGAGAATAAGGTTACCTTGTATTTTTAAGGTATGTGAATTTATTCATAAGTTCATTTTCTATCCACTTGTCTATCTTGATTTGTGAATTTAATTATTTAGATATTTTCTAATCGAGTCTTAGATGAGGTATTTTGAGGACTTAAAAAAGACTTGGTCTCTCTTCTAAGTTGTTGTTGGGTCGTTAGAGGCTATTTGAGACGGTAAAAAATCGGGACTTACAACCCATTTGTAAATCAAACAACCCAAGTCTCATATATATATATATATATATATATATATATATATATAACAATAAATTTGGATCTTAGGTTTAAGTTCAACTACCAAACCATAAAAATAAAAATTATAATTTTTATTTTTAAAAATAAGGACACAAGAGCTGAACCCATATCAACTTGCCATGCCACCTAAACATTGGGCTCAAAGTTCAAAATCTAATTTAGATCCAAACTAGTTTTTTTACTTTCGTTACGCAGTTGGATAAATATATAAAATCGTTGGATAAAATATATAAAATCAAAAGTGAACAAAATTATTTATAATTTTTTAATTAAAAATTTTGTATTTAAATATTTCTTATTTGTGTTTTTCATAATTTTTCCTTTAGAAAAAGGATTTATCATTGTTAATCCATGGATTATTAACTAAAAAGAAAATTAAATAATTTAAAAAAAACTTTAGTATTTCATAAGATTGTGTTAAAAAAACATAAATAATAACTATTAAAAACTTACATAGAATTGAAAAAATATTTTTTTATTTAATGTTGATGATAATATCGGTTTTTGAAAACATGTGAATTTAATTTTTATATATATATTTATAAAAGAACGAATAATATTAAAATAAAAAATTATATTAATTTGAATCATTGAGTGGTTAAGCCAAAAGATTATTTTAATTATGTAATTCAAAAATAAATAAATAAATAGTAAATGCGTAGTGTAGGAAAATAATATTATTATAATACGATCATAATATTAATAATATATGACTATATAGAAAATGACAAATTAAAGTAATAAATTTTAAATAATAAAATTAATTAAAACAAACTATTAAAACAAAATGGAACCAAATCACAATACAATTAAAGTTTAAAATTGAAATAAAAAAGTATAGAAAAATTGAGGACCAAAGTGCTAAAAAAATAACATGAATAAAGAAATAAATAGTGATTTGTGAGTGTATGAATAATGTTTCAAGTAGTGAAAATGAATAATAAAACCATGTTTTACTTTAGTTTTTTTAGTGATATACAAAAAGATAAAATTAGTAGCATCAAAAAATCAATAATGATAAAAATAAAAATATAATACAACAACAACAACAACAACAACAACAATAAGAAAAAAGTTCCGTCATTAAAACCAAATTGATCTCGAGTCCTAAACTTACTCATATAGACCGACTTAAACCGACATCACGTAAAAATCATATCAAGTACAAAACATAAATAAATTAGATATACTAAAACCACGAGATCATGTAAAAATGACTCGATAGAGCATAAATAGTCAATTAGCCTCCACAAGATTCTTGACCAGTTAATTTGTATTCTTGACCAATTAATTTGTATTGGCCTATTTTACTTTTTTTGAAAAAAAAAATCACTAGCCTATTGCTAACTTTATTATCAGCCAAAGGCTCCTCAAGGACTTTTTATAAGAAAAAATAAAATTAATATTATATAGTGTGCCAATCACCATTAGCTCCTGTTAAAAAAATATATTAAAATTAAAATTAAAATTAAAAAAAATCAAAGCAAGATAAATTCTAAAGTATTAACATCAAGTATTTTAAATTCAAATATTTTCAATTAAACTTAAATTAAGTAATTTTAATTTAATTAATCTTTCAAATCTTATATTAATCAAATAATTAACATAACCAGAACATGAGTTAATAAAACAATCACGCAATGTATATAACATTCAAACAAAAACAAAGATAAAAAATCGAAGAATTTAAGTACCTAAATAAAAAAATGGAAGACCAAACTGGACAAAAGCGTAGCAAAAACAGCATAGCAATAAGTGGTGTATGAGAGAGTTGTGGTGGTCAAAATTGGTTCGTTTTGGTACTGTTGTTATCGTCCTCTCTGCACGACTGGAATGGTACGACGCGTGTGGGAAAGGATGGACGGACTACGAGCGATATCATCTTCCCTTGCCTTTTTTTTCCTTACGTGTTCGCGTGTGTGTGTTTGTATTTAGAGTATGATGCATTTATAGGTACTACCTAGGGCAGCTTAGCCTTTCCTATTTTGATGCAGCGAGGCCCTAAAACCTGACACACCCTTGCTGGCCCAAGCCCGTTTCATATTTTTTCTTTATTTATTTATTTTTGTAGGGTGAAAATGAGGTGATGGCATAAAAAATCTAAGAGTGAGCATTATCCGGTTAAAACTGAAAAACCAAACCGAATCAAATTAGCAATTTCGATTCGATTTTTAAAAAAATTTGAAAAAAAAAACCAAAATTAAAAACTGAAATTATTTCGATTTGGTTTTTTTTTTCAAATTCGATTTCCACCGAAAACTGAATTATTATTTTTTTTTAATAAAAGAGGCACCTATGGTTTTAACTAAAAGAAAAATAGCTTTAAAGATTTTTTTCAACTTAAAGTAAAAATATTTTTCATTAATTATTTATTAAAATAATTGATTATATTATATTGACTCACAAATAAATAAATAAAAGGCTGGGATAAAGTAATTCTTTATAAATATACAAAGTTATGTGTGGGTGAATCCTAAAACCTTATGAAAAAAAATTATCTCCTTGTATTAAAATTGGCACAAAAATGTCCTTTAAAAAAATTGACCCGAAGCCACCGCATTTATAATAGTATTATAGTAGTATTAATAACAACTAACAATAATAATTTTTTTCACTCTTTTATGTTTATACCAAACATAAATTAAAAATTGAATTTTTCAGACTATCTATTCAACAATAAAATAAGCACAAAACAAGTAGATTAAAAAGCAAATAAAAAATTAACAAAAAATCAATTGTAACATGATTGAAAAAGTAATGAGAAGCCCAACCAATCTAGTTTATAATATAAATAGAAACAAATTTAGTATAGAAAAATAATAACAATCTTACACAATTTTCTTATAAAATCAAATGTGAAATATGCAATCTTTGATTATGCAAGTTTGATATTTTTTAAAAGCGAAATAATTCAGTTTTTAGAAGAAAAATGTAAATAAATAAATAAATAAATATATATATATATATATATATATCGTTTTTAATTGAAAACCGAAAAATCGGACCTCAATTCGGTTCGGTTTCGATTTTTGTTTTAGTCAATTTAATTAACCAAAAAAAAAAAAAACTAAAACCAAGTAAAAAAACCGAATGATTACCCCTAAAAAAATCTAAAGAAAATTAGTTGTTAAATGTTGATTCCATTTGCATCTATGCTCCAAAGTTCACTAATTTATCTAAATAAGAATGTTGATTTATTTATTTATAAATGATACATAAACATAGATATTGATTGTAGTTAAATAATAAATTACTTCATATTTTCAGATTCGAGAAAACAAACAAGAAAAGCTATGAATCCATTATGTTTAATGGAATGCATCCCCACGATAAGCTCACTAACATGCAAGAGAATCTAATAGAGAACATTTTGACCAACTGACCTTTCAAGATGCTATCAAAATAAGTGTACTATTAAAACAATAGATAGAAAATGGTCTTTACATTTCTATGCGATATTGGATGGTTTAAATTGATCAAAGTTCTCTGAGTCTGAAATTAGTTTATATTAATGTAATGTGAGGGCCTATTCTGAAATTTACTCTTGCATTCCCACAATTACATCAGCTGTCCGAAAGTCAATTAATTCAAGGATGATTCTACTATCAATGAAGGATGTTTCAGAGTTTACTTTGAAGTTTTGGATGGATAAAGTGCATTTTGCCTCCTTTTTTACTACAGCTACATAAGCACTATAGATTTACACCACTGTTTAATTAATTTATTTTATGAGTTCAATGGATTTCAAAAGTTTAGAAGATAATTTTGGAGAGACTCGTCATTAGAAACAACAAACTTGCAAGGTTCGTTAGTAGTTGTTGTACTTAAAGTTGATTAAATTTGTTAATGTTGATTGCCTTTGTGTTCATTCTCTAAAACTTACTGATTTCAACGTGCATTCTAACTTCAAGGTCTTGAGTTAGCTAGATCAGGTGCACATATGCATCAATTACCATGTCTGATCACTTACCAGAGCACCTACATAAATTTCTAAAAAATAGAAATCAAATTGATTTGAGAAAAAATTGTTGAAAGACTCGAGAAATTGGAAGAGGCCATTTTGTAATTAAAACGCTGTTATTATTTGCAAATCATTTATTATTTATATTGCTGAAGTCATTATAATTACTAAAACCGTTGGTAGGTTTCGTACCAAAAACCCTTCCAGACACTCTTGACCATTTACTCTTCATGCAAGTAAGAGACTTTCAGTTTGGAGATGTACGTAGATGAAGTTTCTTGCGCTTTGTACGTTGTTAATGAAAAATTCTCCCATTTTAAAACATGTAGCAATCATGCTGAGTTTAACCAGATAGTTTTCAAGAAGTTAAGCTAATTGATCGTAGTATCTCTCAAGTTATGTTATGTTATTTTCTTTCGACAAAACCACCAATTCTGATATTGATATGGAGATATGGATATCGTTCAGTTTCCAAGGGAATAGAACATGGACGTAGAGTTGGTTCTGTCAACCCCAATAGTTTAAGTCATTCTTCGATACTTGTGCTGAAATATGAGCGGTTCTTAAAATCCTAATTCATATCAATAGAGTATCTAAAACTCATTGAATAACCTTGCAAAATGATTATGGTCCGGGAAAAATGTTTCTAATTAATATCTTTTAAAAGATTGCACCATTAGGATCGAAGCAACACCTCATTTACATTGAGTAATCTGGGATCCAAAAACAGTATAGTATAAATTCGACTCTCGTCATTTTTTTTCTCCCTTCGTTCTGCCCCGAGAGAATATATAAAATATTGATTGAGCTATTGACAAATGACACCTGTAAATATGCATACAAGCTTGTTGAATCGCAACTAATCCAGTTCTGTAACACTATCTTTCTTAAATGGATCACTTAATAAGAAATTTTATAATACATAAAGAGTAATTAATAAGAAATTTTATAATACATAAAAAGTAATTAATGATATGTATCGTAGTTACTCTATGAACCTATTTTGAGAAGAGAAACAGAGACAAAAAAAGAAAAGAGAAACATGAGCAAGAAAATTTTAAAAAAATTAAACGAACTTAGAAATCTTTTTATCACTTTTAGTAAATCAAAAAAGGAGAGAGAAACAATAGAGAAAGAAAATAAAAACAAATTAAACGAACGTGAAATTTTTTTTATCACTTTTAAGAGATCCAAGTATAATTCAATATGTCTATCTCTCTTTGTACATTATAAAATTTCTCATTTAATACTACCAATTTATTCTCCCATATCTTTTCACTGACCAAATAAAATAAGTAGGTTACTTTTAATGCAAGCATTACAAATCAAAGATTAGATTTTTTGTGCGAAAGACTATTGTCCAAATGTCGGACATTAAGCCACAACTCACAACGGCTGATTTCTTTGAGTTAGAGAGGACATTTAGGAATTCGGATGGTGGTTGATGCCATATAACAATGACTTGATCAAAATCCAAACATACATGAACGATTAATCGAAATCTGTTAATAATGACTTTAACTCAAAACAAGGTTACTTGCCTTGGGGTAAAAAGAGAAAGATCAACAATAAAACCTGAAAAATGGCAGCAGGTTCTAGTCTTACATCCCGCCACTGTCAAATTGCGGTAAGGTTTCTTACAACAAATCATTGGTGAGAAAAATTAAATCTGAGTTGGCAAATGAATAATCGAAACTATTTTCCTATTCTTATCTTTCCCTTCTGCTTTGACATCTGATCTTAAATCTGTACAGGCCCTTGATTGAGAAAAAGGTTCTTTTCTACCGTTCCATCTTTGGAAAAGAACACCTCCAGAGTGAAAAGATGGTTGTGACACCTCCAGAGTGAAAAGATGGTTGTGCTTCATCTGCAGAAAAAATGCCAGAAACAGATCTTTCCTCTCAATTTTGATTAGAAAAAGACCAGAAAAGGCATAGTTAAATGATATGTGCCCTTGTTTTTGGACCCATGATAATGAATTAAGCCAATACATTACACTTACAACTGGAGTAAATTCATATCTTTCCCATAAAGAAAAAGAAGAGATAGCTTACCAGAATATTTCTTAGTACCACCAGTTTAGTTTTTTCATCAATCTTCATGTTCATCCTCAGAATCTGCATAATAGGAAATAGAGGGAGAAGAAATTCAGCATTAACCATGAAAATAAATAGGCCAAATACAAAAGCAGACCAAAAAAATTCCATTAAAATAGGTTATCCTAAAATCATTTGCAAAGTCCCATACATCATTGCTTAGTGACATAGGCCAAGTTTAATCTGAATTTTCTAGACCAAATTCTCATGCTTGATAATATGTCCCTCACCAAAAAACTACTTCAAATGTGTTTCCTCATTCCCAATTTCATGCTGCAATGATGTCTATACACATTATAATACAAAGACATGCAATCAATATGTATTTCATGCATACCAGATCGAACATCGTCACTAAGTTGACCCCTTGCTTTGATTTGATTAGCAAGCATCCGATATATCAGGACCCACCAATAAATATGAAGAACAAGCAAGCAGTAGAGGAGAGAATTGAACACATAATAATAGATTGGACCATCCACCGGGTGTTTTTCCTTGTCCAAGTTCAGGAGAACTTCATAGCTGCATCAAGGGAAGAAAATATATGAATTCTTCCGTTAGGTATTTAAAGTTTATAAATTCCAAGATATTAATTAACAACAAACCAAGACGTTTGATAAAGAAGTTGGTGGTAAATAATTCTTGAAAACACTAGCCATACATGTAGTTATACTTTTAACATGAATTTATATGTTAAGTCTTTATCTCTGGAGTTGAAATTTGGATGCAAAATTATTATTCTTTTTCATGATAAGCAAAGTTGTCCATAACGTTGACTAATCAGCAGAAGGCCTCGTGGTTTCCAGATCTAAATTATGAAGCAAATAACCAGAATCTGAAATACCTCCTGAAGCAGCACATTCATTGTGCATTATCAAATTTGGATGTTGTTTGGTCAGCATTATGATCCCACAAAAAGATAAGCATGCATGTAGGACTAAAAAAATTCAGCAGTTGATGTAACTTAGGCATCAATCTATACCAACCTTGTACTCCAAAGGACCCAGAAAGGATAGTAAATGAGCCGCAACAAGATCCAAGACAAAACAAAAAGAATAAACGCAAAGCTAGCAATCCCTTCAGCACCACTGTATTTGGACATCTTTCCTACCTCCAAAAATACATCACTAGCATCGTGAATAGCTAAAACAACTGAACCAACACGACCAAACCTGGAAGCAACAGAAAAATTGGAATAGAAATGAGAACGCTTTATGAACCTTTGATGGTGTGATTGCAGCCACTGGGTTCTATGAAGCTTTTGCAAAAGTATTATACTCATGTGGACAGCATACTTACGACTTCCATAACTTTTCTAATTAAAAGACCCACAGAACTTCCTCAGTGAATTGTGTTTAACAAAATATTACTGAACTACAGAGAAACCTGAACCACAATACCTTAATATGTAGGACAGCACAATGAGAATGACAGTAGCAACATGATGACTCATGGACACCCCAAAATCTGAACGCCTTGTCTCCCAAAAAATCAGAGCAAATATGGAGTATGTGTAAAATCCAGCAGCATACATATATACTCCTTTCAATTTTAATCTGAAATTCATATAAAAATCACCCTGTTTAGTTCATCAAGCTGTCATCTTTATCCCATTCAAAGTACAAATCAATAAAACAACAGCTTGAGCCAAGCAAATAACTGAATAAGAAAAACCACAGCAATATGATATGTAGTTCATAAATCTTACTTCATTTTTTGGTCTGGCCAGGCCTGAATTCCAGGTCCTACCCAAAAATATTTTGTATTACCAAACCAAGGCTCATCATAAGTAACACACAAAACCAGAATTTCTGCTGAAAGAAAATATATGCATTTCCAAGCTGACTCCTTGAATTTTCTTATCTTCTTCCTTCTCTCATCTGGCTGAACATCCAGCATCTGATGCTTCTTTCCAAATATCAAGTGCTGTGCTAGTTTCTGCAAGAAAGAGAAAGAGAAACAAAGAGCTGAGAAACAGCAAAATAGTGATAACAGAAGAGCAAGAAAAGGACAATCAAGTGAAAAAGCAGCCCAATTCGCACTTTTATGCTGTATTTTTAAATGTTGCAGAACCTGGCAACAGTACCAAATATTGCTATATTCACGACTAATTGATTTGTCTTACAATGACACGGTGGTATCAAAGAATGGATACTTCTGGAAGAGGTGGATCATAGGGAGAAATGTTTACAACTCAGAAGAACCCCCGACAACTGAACATATTTCAAAAGTTTTCTGGAATCCAGGTGTTTGGAAGCAGAAATTTTAACAAATGATCAAGCAACAGGACTGGGAGTAAGCTCCATACGATAACTTATGCTAGGATAATTATGCAACTGGATCATCTTAGCATCCGGTTATATCCAGCAGCAGCTATATAAATCACTTTATAAAAGACTTTTCGAATCCTATCATGCTACTGGATAAACGGGTTGAGAAGAGTAACGAATTTCCCGAGAGCAGTGAATGTCATGCAAGGAATAAGGATTTGTAACGAGCAGAAATAGCAACTCGTCCTAAAACAATCTTCAAAGTTTGATAAACTACACGATGCAAGCTAAGCTAAGGTTTGTTCAAGGTTCGCCTAAAGTGGACAGCCATTGAACATAATCAACAAAACAAGTGGATTTCAAATCTCAACGAAAAAGGTACATCGTCAAATGAGACTTCAATGGCCTTACAAAAAGGTTTGTCAATGAATATGGATAGTATCATAACAACTGACCCATGTCTCATGTAGCGTTATTTGCTGGTTGAAACCCCAGGATTACTAAACTGAAACAAAAATGCACATAAATTCTAGTAGTAACATGAAATTCTATAAAATTTTAGATCGGCCAAATTGCTTCTCACAAGCCATGCAATTAGCTCAAGACATAAAAGACAAATAAATGACCAAAATTCAAAACATTGTAGTTATAATGATTGCAAGATTCAATTATTCAAAAAAAGCAAAACATCTCACCAAACTAAATACAGCTCACTAAAGAAGAACCTAAATCCAATATGATTCAGTCAAGTAACCAAAAATTAAACGAAAAAAGCCCCAAAACAAGCTAAAAAAACAAACATTAAGAAACCAAAGCAATGAAGACAAAAACTTAAACTAAACCAATAAAAAAGGAAACAAAAACAATCAGCGACACTAAATGTTTCAAAGGAAATACCTGGAAGACAAATCTGTCAAGAAAGAATCGAACAAAGGGGAAGAAGAGAGCAAAAAGAGGAAGGACAATATAATCTTCATAAGCTGGATAAGATTCATGTTCCCATTTGATAGATTTCACATATTCTATGAAACCCATCTCAGATTTTGCCTCTTCTTCCTTTCGATTGATCCAAGATAGGATTTTCCTAGCGCTTTTGTAAATCACATACGCAAAAACACGAGCAAAGCAAAAGCCTTACCTTTATTATTATTTTTTTTCAACTTTTGTTTTTTTCTTGGCGTCCACCTCTTACAGTCTTACTACGTTTCTTCCTGTAAAGGGTGGGGTGATTTCGTCAAAGAAGTAAGAATTCACGGAAATATACTAGAAGTAGCCTCGGATTAATCCCCAAAATATATTAATTTTCTCATTTAGGTCCCTAATAAATATTTTAACCAACTGAGTCCCCAACGTATCCTGGAATCTTCAATTAAATCCATCTGTCAATAAATTTGCAAAAATTTTCGAAATGGACTTGGTTTTGATTTGGTTGACGAAATTACCCCTGTGAGTTTTGGATTTGTTTACTTTAATCGGAGAAAAGCGACCGTTTTATCGGATAGAAGTTTGGGAAGGCTCGGTTGGGGAAGAACAAGATGCGTAACATCCATGCTGTGTGGAGATAAAAGAGAGAAATTTTAATGCGGTGAATATATATATATATATAAGAATGAGAGAGATTTTTTTTTTTTGTTGGTATATGAAAATATTCAGATCATTTTTTATAAGATCTATTATATAACTTTTTCCAGTCATATTTGTATTTATCGTTCTAATTAACGGACATTTATAAAATAATTATTTTAGAGTAATATAAATGTCTAAATAAGGATAATTGGAGATTGACATGTCACAACTGCAGCTGATCAAATAGACATAGGCCTAAAACTTGTGGCAAATGCAATTATGGTGAGTTTCTCTTCTATTTTTTATTGAAGGTTTTGCGATTAAATGAAGCATATTAGAGTGAAGACGCAGCCGAGAGATGAGCATACAACAAACTATTCTTTCTCTTTTATTATTAAAAACTTATATATCATTAATAGTAATTTTTCGTAAGATATCACGAATTCAAATTCTAATAAAATTATTCTGCTAGGAATCTTGTATTTGTATTTTAGATTGGTAAGTTATAAAATAAAATAAAAACATATTAAAGTGAAGAGGGAAAAGCTAGTTCATTCAATGAGGAATGAGACATTAATAAAACCTTTGCCAATTATATTCGATATTCCAACCTTTAAATTAAATTTGTAAGTTTGTAAGTAAATGCAGCGACTTTTGAAGCCAAGGACCACAAAATATGCCAAAAGACATCTTAGGCACATGCTTTCAAAAAAAAAATGTAATTTACCTTCACCAGGCATTGTAAAAAATAAAAAATAAAAAAATAGGTCGGTGCTACTGTTGTATTGATGATAGCAGTCAAAGGCCATATCCAGTGCAACATGCGCATGAGTCGTTGATGTGTTACATCTGCCTTTTCATTTACTGAGTTTGACTTTAGCTTTCTCCAATTATTTAGACACAAAAAATGGTAGTTGAATTTGATTTATCCTTTACAATTGTGGATTGATACTTCATCTTACGTACAATTTTATTTGACTAAATAGAGAAATATGTGTAATTTGTTTTTCATGAATACAATGGTTTAGATATTTCTGACTTGATCAGATTGAATACATCCAATCTAAACCAATTTATTCTTAATAAAATTAATAATACAATCTATATTTATATAATAAAATAATTTTTTATTTTATTTTTATATTCATAATTAAATAATTATATCCTTTAATATATATTAAAATTTTAATTAATTTTATTAGTAAGTTTTTCCTAGCTAAATTATTAGAATTAACTACGTAACTATCAAATAAAAATCTTTCATTTGTCTTACTTATAAAAATATTTTTAAAATAAAAAATAGTTATGTGTAAATCATATAATTAATTTTGAAAATTTTATGTGAAAAATATTATAAAAATAATAAATTAGAAAATTAACGTATATTTTAATATAAAATAAAATAAAATAAAAAATATAAAAATAGATTAAAGAATTGTGTTATTTTATAAATACGTATTGGATCATTATTTACAGTTGCCGTTTCTATATGGTGCAGATTATACCATTTATTCAAAGTCAATGACTTTATGCTGGATCGGATCCAACTAAAACACATATTGCACGCGCAGAAAATTTGGACCGAACGGATGTTAGAACATTCGGTCAGAGATTAGTGCTCATGGATTTGAGCCAACAACAAAGAATAGTATGCCTTAAAATTATTACACTAATATTTTTCTTTCTTAGTTGAACTTTGCAGGCTGTTCTGCCGTTTGTTTTTTACCTGCTTTAATCGTCAAGAACTTTTGCAATACAAGAACAAAAAGAATATTATCAATATATTTATTCTACTGTTAGTTCTAAAAATATTTTTGTTGTTTTGTTTAATGTAAAAGCTTAAACAAGTTAAAATCAATTTACAAACCACGAGTTAAGTTTGCAATATGATTCCAAATTTCTAATATAAACTTCATAACCTTATTTGCAATAAAAATACACTACTAACTTTGAAATTAAACGACGTGTATAAACACCAAATTGAAATATTAATTTTCATATAATTTTTAATTCAAAATTATCAAAATATTTTATTAGACCAATGATTTCAATCCATACATTAAGCCTTCTGAAAAGTAAAAGGCCAATCCATATCTAGTATTGAACTCATTGACTAAAACAACTTCAGTACAAAGACTCTAGACTTTGTTTATGACCTTACTCCCATCCTTCCTTTTCAATTTTAATCTTCATCTTTCTATTTCATTTTTAGTCAATTTGAGATGCTAGAAAACAAAGAGAACTAGACTTCTTTTACAAGTTGAGTCTCATGCAACTTCATTTTCAAATAGGTGTAATTTTTTTTATTTTTTTTATAGACTGAGTCTCATCCTACCATTTTATTTTAATCGATGTGAGATAGTTGTAAACTTAAGATCATGTCAATTATCTTACATCGAAAGATTGCAAATTTGAGAGAGATTGAAAAAATCTATAAAATGGTTTTGAACTTTTACCCCCACATCGAATTATGAAAAAATGGAAAAAGGTGGAGAAGTCCGTAAAAGGGCTTTGAACATTGCTTAGTTTGCCCTAGCTTAAGTTCCCGAATCGGCTTCCATATCTTTAGTTTTTAACAAGTTTTTTTGCCCACATTATGTTACAGAGTTGGATAAAATATAAAAAATCGTTTAGAGAAATTATTTTAGTTTAATAGTCTCGTTTTATGATGTGAATTTATAAAATATATATGAAATCATTTTAGTTTAATAAAAAAATTTATATTTAACTATTTTTTATTTATGTTTTTCATAATTTTTTCTTTAGAAAAAGGATTTATCCTTATTAATCCATGGACTATTAATTAAAAATAAAATTAAATAATTTTTTTTAAAAAAAATTTGTATTTCATAAGATTGTGTCGAAAAAATTAAATAAAAATTATTAAAAACTTACATAGAATTGAACAATTTTTTATTTATTTAATGTTGATGAGAATATCGGTTTTTGAAAAAATATGAATTTAATTTTTATATATTTATTTACAAAAGAATGAATAATATTAAAATAAAAAACTATATTAATTTGAATTTCAACTATTAATTAATTAATTTGATTTTTTCTTTAAAAAACTGAGAAAAAATTATTTGAAACACATTTTTAATCTAAAAATGTATTTTAGACAAATTATATTTATTAATCATACCACTATAATTTAAAAGTTATTTATACATATAGAAAAATAATCATGTTCTAAAAAATAATCATATTCTAAAAATTTATTTCAAAATCCATACATATAGAAAGATAAATTATCAGTAAATATAATTTTAAATTAAATGGATGAGAATTTAAAAAAAAATTAAAGTAGTAAATTTTAAATAATAAAAATAATTAAAAAATAAAAAATAGGACCAAAATCACAATATAATCAAAGTTTGAAATTGAAAACAAAAAAAGAATTTAAAAAACATGACAAATTAATATAGTAAATTTTAAATAACATAAAAAAATCGAGAAAAATTATTTGAAAAATGCTTTTAATCTAAAAATTTATTCCAAACAAATTATATATATATATATATATATATTAACAATGCCATTATAATTTAAAAATTATCTAAATCTATTTTTTTAAAAAAATAATTTACTAAAAATTTATTTCAAAATCCATAAATATAGAAAAATAAATCAAAACTGTCACTAAATATAATTTTAAATTAATTAGATGAAAATTTTAAAAAATAAAAATTAAAGTAGTAAATTTTAAATAATAAAAATAATTAAAAAAATACTAAAACCAAATGGGACCAAATTACAATATAATCAAAGTTTGAAATGGAAAAAAAAAAAAAAAAGAAGAGAATTTAAAAAAAAATAAAAAATTAATATAGTAAATTTAAAATAATATAAAAAATAAAATAAAATTATTTGAAAGATACTTTTAATTTAAAAATGTATTTCAGACAAATTAGATATATTAATCATGCTACTATAATTTAAAAATTATCTAAATCTATTTTTCAAAAGAAAAAATAATCATGTTCTAAAAATTTATTCCAAAATCCATACATATAGAAAAATAAATAAAAAATCTCAGTAAATATAATTTTAAATTAATTGGATGAGGATTTTTTTAAAAAAATGACAAATTAAGGTAGTAAATTTTAAATAATAAAAATAATTAACAAAAAAAATACTAAAGCAAAATAGGACAAAATCACAATATAATTAAAGTTTGAAATTGAAAAAAGAAAGAGAATTTTTTAAAAATGACAAATTAAAGTAGTAAATTCTAAATAATAAAAATAATTAACAAAAAAATACTAAAACAAAAAAAGACCAAATCACAATATAATTAACGTTTGAAATTGAAAAAGAAAGAGAATTTTTTAAAAAAGAAAAATTAAAGCAATAAATTTTAAATAATAAAAATAATTAATAAAAAATACTAAAACTAAATGGAACCAAATCACAATATAATTAAAGTTTGAAATTGAAAAAAAATATATAGAAAAATTGAGGACCAA